ATGCTCCTTTACGATTGAAATGATCCTACAAGGGGGCATATGGGTCTCCCGGAAAGGGCATGGGCCTCTAGACAGTGTAATGAAGCTTAAGATTTCCAATTTACAACTTTTACCAATCAGTGAATAGCTATTTTCCTTCTTCTCATACGGCCTTTACTTTCGCTTAGATTTGTTCTTGGTCGCATGGAAGTGCAGAGATACCCAATTTTGTTGTGTTTTGTGTTTAAAAGCTGCACCTGTTCCGCCAGCGATGGCCCCCTCGGAACCAATGGGCTCCTTCGGGGCCCAAAGGGGGCCATGACCCCGTGCCCCTTCCCTCCGGATCCGCCCCTGATGTAGTGCAAAAGTAAGCCAAAGACAGCTTTAATCTGAAAAGTGGGCCAGCCAGTTAACACTTCCCCCCCCCCCACCTTGAAAAGTGGGGGCATGGCCACCTGCTCCCCCTCCTGTTCCTACACCCATGCGACCACGGTATGAAATGACCACGGCGTGAAATGGATGCTCATTGTCGCACAATGAAGCCCTTACTCGTAGCAGTTTTGGCCCACCATTTTCCTCTGGTGTCGCGGGCAATAGAAGCTGCCATATCCATAAAGTCGCCGCAACAGCGACAAATAATGGTAGTGTTGAAAGTGCCTTCGAAATCGCATGCACTTCATGCCTGTTCTTCGCCTTGCTCCTAACATTTCGTTGCGATCAATGATTAAGGTGGGGTGGCGGTGGGATTGAAGTGCGGTGTTGTAAGATACATCAAACTTCATTCCACTGTAAGTGTTGGGCGTGCATAGAAGCGTAACTGTATGAAGTTGCCGTTTCATAAATAGCCATTACCTGTGCAAGTAAAGTACTGCAAATACCACGAAATTCCCAACATTGCGACCGCAAACAAGCATTGGCCGGCTGAGCCCGATGTTAAGTGATAGCCCACGTGATATTCAGTTACGCTGCACTTGGCATAGGGCAGTGGTTAGCATCAGCAAATGCTGAGAGAGGTTACGGTACACATTGGTACCTGATGTTACCAGCCTCCACCCCTCACTTAAGCTCCAACAACTCCAGACCTCTAAACTGTGAAGAAAGTGGGCAAAACTTAGGGAGACATATTTCCTGATGTATTTTATGGCCAGCTTGTCATCTTTCACTGTCCAGGCACCCAAATTTATTAATTGGAATTGTGCCCCTGCACTCTTTCATAACTGTCATGTAATCAGCATTTTTTGAAACTTTTGCCAGGTGATAAAACATGAAAAAGTACACTTTCCAGGAATCAGAAGTGATGCACATGAAAATGCTAAATTGCTATGCTTGACAGCCAGCAAATCTATGCAGGATCAGTTTTGATTCTTATTTGAAGGTGGAACCAGTATCAATTCTATAGTACAGCCACACAAAATGAGTGACATTTTGCCTTCTGTCCATGCATGTCCAGCTTAGGAGCATAGCTATGGTGAGATATGAACTATGCTATTAATCCAGTAACTTTCTGGTGAATGGTAAGTGGATATTTTGTTTTCACAAATAGGTTTCTGTTCTTTATCAGTGACCTTTTTTCAAGGATAACTTGAGTACCTTGAACCATGGACTACCCACAATTCCATGCACTAGGTAATTCATGCCCAAGCTGTGAACTGATCTGATGGGCAAATGACATTCTTCAGAGTCCTAATGAGTCTTTAAGGAGGCTAAGGAGACTCCCTTCTGTTTTTCTTCAGTGCCAGTGCCAACCATAACTGACATGAGGACCTTTTCACCAGCACTGGCATGGAGTTATGCAGCACAGTCATTAATGGCAGTCCTTTCCCCTGACAATGACCCAGTAGAAAAGTGATGATGCACATAAGAACTGTGTACTAGCAAACAATACTGTGTGTGTTTATGACAATCATTTCCATGAGGTCATTGTGATTGAGCCCCTCTGCAGACAGCTGGTCGCCTTACGCTGGTCCGTCTCAGATGCGCCGTCGGAATGCCAGTGGTCCAGCGCCTGAACACGCGGCCCAGTACCACCGGCTGACGGCCGTCGGCGACGGGCAGTTCTGCGACGAGCAGGTTGGAACAGCGAGTTATGGTCCGCTGGCCCAGCGGTCTGGTTTGCGGTACACTTTGTCCCAAAAAGACTCGTTGCGGCTATAAGAAATGGAACCACATCGGGAACGGCGTGAGAACACTGTGCTGTCTGCTATGGGTAGTTATGGCTCAGCTATGTCGAGGTCGTTCAGCCACTGTTCGGCATGGAGGCCCACCGGTCGTGCTCCGCTGGCCGTTCGAGCTGTGGCCTGCTGGCCATTCGACCTGCGTTCCGCTGGCCGTTCGAGCCGTGTCTGTCCGCTGGCCGTTCGAGCCGTGTCCCGCTGGCCGTTCGAGCTGTGCGTCGTCCGTCTCACGGACGCTGGCCGGCGTAGTTTCAGACAGTGCGGAAGCCGATCCCGTGGAAAAGCATCTTCCTGGCGTCATTCTTGTTCGCCGGCGGCACCACACTGCTCGTCATGGGCAGCTTGCTTGTATCCGGCTTTTTCGACGAGCGGGTAAGCGGGCGGGGGTCGGGACTCAACCCCGTCCGTGACGTCGGCGGACGGGCTGTTCACGGTCCACTGACCGTGAGCATCCGTTCGCGGACACGCAGCTGCGGTTGGTCGCCGCTTCCCCCGCCCTGATGATCAGCGAACTGTTAGTGCTGTCCATATGTGCGCCGAACACCGCGTGTTTTTATATTAGCGGCCTGTGGGGTTGTCGCAGCCGGTGTTCCGTACGTGTGCGGGCCACCCAGGTACAGTGACGCCATATGTTTCCGCAGTACGCCGACCGCACCTGGCCCCTGATCGTGCTGGGCCTCATCATGTTCGTGCCGGGCGCCTATCACGTGCGTATGGCATACCTGGCCTACATCGGCTACGACGGCTACTCATTCGAGGACATTCCCAGCTTCGACTGAGCCGTCCGGTGTAGCCGGCTCCGCTGGCCGGTGGCCGGCTGCCGGAGGGCACGCCACCGCTGGCCGGTGGCCGGCTGCCGGAAGACACGCCACCGCTGGCTGGTGGCCGGCTGCCGGAGGGCACGCCACCGCTGGCCGGTGGCCGGCTGCCGGAGGACACTCCACCGCTGGCCGGTGACCGGCTGCCGGAGGGCACGTCACCGCTGGCTGCATATAGCTGCGATGCAGCTCACCAGTGACATCCAATCATTCTGTAGGTACCGTTTTGTGCACGAGGCTGCTGCTGAGGCTGCTGAGGCTGCTGACAACTGGCTACGGTATGATGGTCTCCGTGTTTCTGTTCCATCAGACGGGCATGGACGATGTGCTGAAGTGTGCGCGCTCAGGCCCGTGTTGTGAGGTGCGCTCAGGCACGTGTTGTGAGGTGCGCTAAGGCACGTGTTGTGAGGTGCGCTCAGGCACGTGTTGTGAAGTGCGCTCAGGCACGTGTTGTGAGGTGCGCTCAGGCACGTGTTGTGAGGTGGGCGCGGGCCAGTGACGGAAGCGGGGCGGAGCGGTTATCGGCGGGCGGCGCTCCTGTCCATGTGGTACTCACGCCGCCCGCACCGCCTTACCCGTCGAGGCCCGTCTCTCGTGGCCCTGGTGATGGCGCCATCAGCTGCTGAGCTTGCGGTCGGCAGTTAACGGCCTTTTTATCGACGTCATGCTCGGTGCTTATTTTGTTTAGTGTGCTTGTCTGTAATGAATATGCGTATTGTGCCTCCTAGACCGTTTGTATTGTCATTCGACGGGGCCACACAGTACTGCATGTTCATTCTTCCCTTTCTCCGTTCGCACATTTCACTGACTGGCAAACGGAGCTGCCCAAATCAGTGGAACGTGGTCCGAGACGCCGGCGAAACGTACAATGTGTATTGGGTTTTACACTGGCAGTATGTAAGGTAGCGGTTTGATCGCAGGCTTGCAACGGTTGGACACGGCACTAGCACCGCCCAATTATGCACATGATCAAGTTTGGCCACAGCCATTCTGTTAACAAAAACATTGGTGTTTTCAAAACCGTGATTCATGGTTATTACTGGGAGCTATATGTGATCACACTGCACGTTGCCATTGTCCGCAAGCTCCTCCACACGTGATGTGAAGGACGTGCGCTGTCGCATCTGGGCGAAACGACCTGACAATGAATGAGCGGTCTTGCATTGGATCAGACAACAAGCTGACCAAGAACGCAGTTTGAGAGGCGGACGTGTCTAACGTCATCTTATAAGGGGTGTCCGTGACCTGAAGCGATCATGAACCTGGAACAGTCCCGTTAGCACAACACACGATATTAAGTCTCCAACAGACAAGGGATGAAGCATCAATTTTCGGGGACACGGGCGCTACAGGGTCTTTCTTGTACATAACACCGTTTCATTTCCTGGCGGTAATCTTTGGTGCACATACAGTGGGTAATATACATCCACAAAGCGGATTAATATATGCTGTAAGGGGGCCAAACTTCCTCATTTCACCGAATTAGAACAATATAAACACATGTATTCGGCATATACTTTGTCGCCACACGGTTTCTCTGACTGCAAACGAATAAGGATTACAATTTTGAGGCCATTTTATCGCCACCACCGCCTCTTCCCTTTCGGTTAAGCTTAACACATGATACAGTTCCTACTCCTAAAATACATCACCAGGTGCCAAAAAACGGCTGCCACGCCATAGTCGTGTACCACCGCTTGCCGGGCTTGTGGTAATTTTCCTGACATTTTGTCGTATTCACCGAGCCCTCCAACCCGAGCCAAGTCCTTACGGGAACGGTGCATGAAAATGCCTGGTCGATCGTCGAGAAAAGCCTCAGATGACCCCACATCTAGGATCCACGTGTTCTACAATAGAACCTAACGTGTTCCACGATAGGGCCTACCGTGTTCTACAATAGGGCCTACCGGTCACAGTTTATGAAAAATCACAGTTTGAATTCGTCTAGAAAGCGTGGCCGCGACCTGTCAGCGCGCCGCCGGCCACGCGGGCCTCCGTGCCGCTGGTGACGCTGCGTCACGCGCGGCGCCCAGCGGCGTGCGTCGCACGCATCGACCGTACATGGAAGTCACGCTTGAAGCGGACCGACATAATGCGAGCGCGCGCAGCCTCCGGCGCCCGCCGCCGTACAAATACAAAACAATGCGCTGCGGCCGCCGTCGGCGGAGGCGGCCTCACCCGGCGCCCGCCGGACGGCACGCACCTGACGCTGACGGGCCTGGCCGTCAGGCGGCTACGAGTCGGCCGGACCGGGCTTGGTCAGCCGCTTGGCGCCGCGGCTGGCCGGGCCCTTGGGCTTGGCGAACTTGGGCCGATGCAGCATCTTTTTGGGGTGGATCTCGTCCATCAGGAACTGCTCGGTCAGCTCGCTGGGGTCATCCACCTCGATCTGCCGATCAAACGGAAGGGTCCAGTCGCAGACGCCAGACTAAGGCATACGGCCAGCAGGTGCGCCGGCGGCGGGTCGTCCCAATGCGGCCATAAACGCGCCACTGTCTATTTCAGGAGGCGCTGGCGTGGCTGTTACCCCGCTGCGTGGGGGGACACAGTGGGAGCCTACCGATCCGGACTGGTCAGCCGTGTCTACCTCACACTGACCAGCCTGGACAGGGCGCGTGAGCCGAAGACAGCGCCCACCAGCCGAACACAGGACAGGCACATGACATCACGGCGGCCGGTTCACAGCTCTGGTCACTTACAGGGAGACCATGGCAACGTCCAGGTGGACCGATCCCGCCCACCTTTTTGGTGATGCTCAGCTGGCACTGGTTCTCTATGACGTCGATGACTGAGGACTTGCAGCTGGAGTACAGCATGCGCTCCCGGATGGAGCAGTTGTAGCCGGGCATGGAGTAGATGAACACTGGCGGGGCGGCACACAGGTCGGCACGCGTCCGTCTCAGGCCGACCGCGGCCGTCCGCCTCAGGCCGACGCGGCCGTCCGCCTCAGGCCGACCGCCGCCGTCCGCCTCAGGCCGACCGCGGCCGTCCGCCTCAGGCCGACCCGCCGTCCGCCTCAGGCCGACCGCCGCCGTCCGCCTCAGGCCGACCACCGCCGTCCGTCCCACACAGTCGGCATTCCTCCCCCACCCCCTCGCGTACGGAGTGGCTGCTCGGCGCCCACGACAGAGCTGTGGTGGTCTTCCTTTGGCATATAGCGGGCCTTACAGGCGCCAGTCCAATACACACTGCGTCAGGCACCGGCGCCCGCGTCCTCTAAAATTCCGCGCAGTTCAAGCGCAGCTCTCGCGGGCAGCAGGTTGAGCCTACCAAACATATTTCTAGCTTTGTGCTTGTCAACTTGAGGGAAAAATCACGAATGACGGCTTTTTCAGAAAATTTCAATGAAGAATGCGGCAAACCCCAGCACTTTTGTCCAAACGTCACATCACACGGTGGCTTTATGTCCGGCTACAACGCGGGTACCAAAGCCCCATAGTGCCCATACGCAAGCTTAAGATTTCAAAAGCATCGCAACGTAAAGACCACGAGACGAACACGAAAAAGCAGGAGATGTCGCGTCTCCGCCACTAAAACTAAATGACATTTTTTCAGTGAGCAAGATTTACTTTCACAACATCGCTTTAAAAGTATAAATTTCCACTCAGATGTCTCGACATCAGATTTAACAAGGCATACCTTGCTCTTTAAGCTGAGACGAATCGATCAGCATAGACGGCAACTCGGGGTGATCTACACCGCCGCAGCTTGCACCGTTGTGCAAATAGGATAGCATGTATGGCCTCAGAGCCTATGCGGCCGGCTCGTATCGCCGGCGAGTTCTGTGTTCAAACCTGGCAACTCCATGACGACGCCGGTCCCGCACAGTGGCCAGCACCCACTCACCGAGACTGTGGAACTGGTCACCCTCGTACTGGTGGCTGAACACGTACAGGTGATAGCGCGCGTGGTCGGTGGGCACGTGCCGTGCGAGCGCCGCCGCCGGCGTGGTGTCGGCCGCCGCCAGGTTAATGGTCTCCTTGTCCAAGTCTGCGGCAAGCGCGCCGGAGCCCGGTCACACGCGCCCGGCCCTGTCGGGACTGCGGTGAACCGCTCTCGACAGGGGCTGACAGCCAGGCGGCCCACAGGGGGGGGGGGGTCGTCAGCCCGGTCACAGGTCACCAGGCGGCTCACACGAGGGGTCGTCAGCCCGGTCACAGGTCACCAGGCGGCTCACACGAGGGGTCGTCAGCCCGGTCACAGGTCGCTGGCCGGCGCCGAAGACGACGGACGGCGTCATACGGAGTGGGCCGCGCTCCACAACACGCCCCGCCCACCACCAGAGCGCGTTTCCTTCATCCGGGGGAGGGGGGGGGGGGGAGGGCGGTCAGATGGCCGGGGACAGACTGCCTGCTACACAGCGGTACATCCGGTGGGCAAAATCTGCACAGTGCCTGTCCCAACGGGCCACTTGGCCGCGCTCGTTTCAGCCGGAGGCGTCCGCCGGAAGCGACACGCATCCAATATTGATGGGAGTTGTACTGTGATGTTGCAATGACACTGCGAATTGGAAATGGGGTCCTTCATGTGTATTCTGCTACAGAATTCAATTCATCGTTGTTCTTGGCGAAGGTTTGGTCAGTTCAACAAAAGGATGATATCTCAGCACAAAAGACTTGCTGAAGTTAGGTGCTGGCACTAGGCTGCACCACCATAATGGGAGCCAGGCTCATGTCGAAGGGAGCGCCCGTGACCCGGCGCCCCGGAACTGACCTATGCTCAGCTGTACGTAGTTCACCCTGCCCTGGGACAGACCGGCCACCTCGTCCAGCGCCTCGCGGCTGATCGGGAAGGACACGCTGCCCATCGTCTGCTGCTTGGTGTCCACCGACACGTCCACCCCCACCTGTCCGCAAGGTGGCACCGTATGTGGACACGGTGCACGGGCGGAGAACGGAGCAACGAGACAAAGAACGGAGCGACATCCCGCCGTCTCAGTGTACGCCTTCTGGCGGCCAGGCGCGCAGGGTACACGGCAAGGGGCGGAGAACGGAGCAACGAGACAAAGAACGGAGCGACATCCCGCCGTCTCAGTATACGCCTTCTGGCGGCCAGGCGCGCAGGGTACACGGCCAGGCAGACCCGCAGCACCTCAGCCCCTCCTTTAGCCATACTGATTTTCGAAGCATCTGGACGTTTGAACGTAACGTTGAGTCATTCCTGCGCCCATTCATGGGCGGGAAAACCTGTTGCAAATGACAGGACAGCATCAGAACACCTGTGGACTCGCTATCCTAACTAGGGCGCTCCTTCCAGGCTGCCGGCGCTCAGTTTCGAACCTCACCTCTGCCCTCTTGATCTCATCCCTCTCCTCCTCGGCCATGGAGCGAGGGGCGGGCGCCTTCTGGGCACGCAGATGGCGCCGGTAGCCGGTCAGCGTCACGTCCTCCTGACAGCACCAGTCACAACACCGTGTCACAACAGCGTGTCACAACACCGTGTTACAACAGCGTGTCACAATAGCGAGGCCAAACTTCAGATTGGCGTCCAAAGTGCCCCAGAACCCAGAAGTGTCCCAGAACCTAGACACCTTTTAAGCAAAAGATTATTGGTGCTTATTTAAGGTCAGGGATCTTTTTGACCTGTCAGAGGTCATGGCAATCAGAATCCTACAAGGCTTCTTTGAGTCTTGCATTTGAACAGAAGCATCAAAGTTTGAAGCCTACGTTCACAAAAACAAAAAGGTTTACCTGAGTCATTTTAGGTCAGTGACCTATCCTGAGATTTAAGAAGTCTATGGAAGATGTATGATATGGTTCCTGTTATCAACACATTTGAAATGAGTACCAGAAACTAAGTCGGAAACCATTCCGCACAGCACGCCCTAGAGTAACAAAACAGGTTGGTTTTGACCCTTGGTCTGAACTTCATACCTGATCCTATGTCAATGGAACTTGTTCATGCAATTTGTGTGTTCCCTAAGAAACTATCTCACAGATGTATGGCTTCATCTAACACTCTGTTGTTGCATCAGCTTGAAGAATTCCCTAGAAATCGTCTTCACTGCATTCATGGCCTGACCTTGGCCTGCCACAGGTCAGCAACCTTACAGGTACATGTGAATTTTGGATATCAAACGATCCATTATTCAATTATCTTCAGGAATATGGCGCGACCGCGCCGCGCTGTTCGGAAATCACGCCGGAAAAACCTCCGAGGGAGGCTAAACTAACGCCGCGAGCGCGTGTTAACAACTAAAGGAAAAACAAAACCTTCGAGGGAGGCTAAACTGACGCCGCGAGCGCGTGTTAACTAAAGGCAAAAACCTTCGAGGGAGGCTAAACTGACGCCGCGAGCACGTGTTAACAACTAAAGGCAAAAATCTTCGAGGGAGGCTAAACTGACGCCGCGAGCGCGTGTTAACAAGTAAAGGCAAAAACCTTCGAGGGAGGCTAAACTGACGCCGCGAGCGAGTGTTAACAACTTAAGGCAAAACCTTCGAGGGAGGCTAAACTGACGCCGCGAGCGCGTGTTAACAACTAAAGGCAAAAATCACCTTTGTTGTGCCAAAGACTTCATCCTTGATCTGGGCCCCACCAAATTCCTTCTTGAGTGTGGCCTTTGTAGAGGCATACAGCATCTTCTGCCTGACTGGCGAGTCATCCGGTGACCATGTGATCAGCAGCCACTCAAAGCCCATTGAATTCTTGGAGTCTAGCCTGCAACAGTGCCATTTATGTTACCTTTATGTGGGCATGTGCTATGTACACTGAAGTCACTTCAGCTACAACCATATGTTAATGCTTTTGCACATCAGTGAGTGCTGTAACATCACAGCCCACCATCACAGCCCTGTAATGGGCAATACTGTCCCCATGACAAGATGCATGGTTAACAAGGTTGAATAGAAATGGCAATGAATGGACTTGAGCTTCTCATTTTGCAGTATCATGAGTTACAAATTCTGACAATGACAGCTCCATATATCCAGTTTCAAAAAGCTGGGAGGTTGCTGGTTTAACAACTAGCAAACATGGGTAACACTACCCATTCCACAAGTTTCAGGCTATGCCCATGCATCATAGCAACACTCAACCTGCCATGCCAATGTTCAATGTGTCAAGCTATTTATGCAACACAAACACCACTTGAAATATGATTCAGGGGTGTCATTTACTTTTCAGTCAGGGTTCAAAGTGGGGTGGAGGCTATATTTATGCTCCAGCTTTCCCTGCACTTCAGGAAGAAAATGGCCAATGGAGCAAATCAGGAAAAAGCCATTTTTGGGCATATTTTGAGGGCAGGGTTTTATATTTTTTGCTGTCTCTCCCCCCCCCCCCCCCCCCCACTCATGTTGTGAAAGCATGCCCCTGTGCTGACTTGTTACAATATAGCATTTGAATTGAACATTTCATGGATAGTGTTGTTTGGCCGGCAACTCCTGTTATCTACAAAACACTTTTGCAGGTCTAGCCATTGATAAACAGACCTATACAGGATGTATGTCGGCTGCTTGTCATCTGTGAGATCTGGAACTGTGCTGTCCCAGTCAGTTTCCCAGGTAGACTCAGCAGGAACATGGGTGTGGAGGCTTAACTGCTCTGCAAGAACAATGATGGAGTTACACCACTTCAGCATACACACATGAAAAATGCAAACAGCAGCTCACTTTTTTGCACAATGGTGCAATGTGTCTCAAGACATTATCCTTGTGTCTGAGATGAGACTGCTTTCCAAAGTAGCTTTATGCTTCTCAAGCATCAAGATGCCAGTGGCTGTGAAAATGATAGTGATGAGTGTGGTCTTTACACAAAACTCAGCACACAAGTTGTACATGGTTGTTGTGATTACTTGGTGGTGTAGGAGAGTTGTGCAAGAAGTCATCCAATGTTCATCCACTTACAGGAATCACCTGATCCATGAACATTTAATGCATCCATGTTTCTTTTGCTTACCATCTTCAATGGATATTTTGATGGCCCTGACACTTCCATTTCTGCAGCTGCCAAAAAATGTCATCAACTCCTGGTTGGCTACAATCCCTGTTTGGTGGGACATCTTTCCTCTGTAAAGAATGAAGAAAGTGGTCATGAGGAGGATTTCCTTACATCATCATTCTCTGTTGGCAGTCAGCAGCAGCCACCAACCTGAAACCATATTGAGGCAATCACACCTCCCTCCTTCCTTGTTCTCCTCCTCTTCCCCGCTCCATGGCATGGTTCTAAAAATTATCAATGGTTGGTTTCTAGCATCAAATTTACAAAGCTTAATAATCTTTTCATCGAGACCTGCTGCAGAGAATAGCCAGGTCCCAGGTCACTCTGCCACCCAGCTGAGGTGTTATCCTTGAATGCTGGCGGAACATTTTTGTATGACAAATATTGGTTTGGCTTGATGGTGGAGCCAGACAGCACTGCAGCACGCAGTGGTGTCTTTAAGAACATCTATCATGCAGCAAGACAACTGGCATGCATGAGAAAACGACCCCCGTCGACAATGTTGCCTTAGTTCTGAACTGTCATTGTTCCAGACTACACCAAAGAACATCAGTCCATAACAATATCCCTTGATGTCAATACTTCTATACCCTGCCAGCTACTGTCTCTGAACATGGAATCCTAAAATGCTAATCAGGAGCCTAGGCTGGTAGTCATTGATCATAGGTTTTGGAAACCATATATTGAAATTAAACATTGTCATCATTACTGTAGTTTCAATTATCACCCACTTTCACCCCATTAGTCATTCCAGTGGCTCCATTGTAATAGCCCAGGTGGTTAGAGTGCCTGCCTCCTGATATTTATGTGCTTTCTCTTCAATTTCAGGCCCTCTGGCTGCTTGCTAGTTGCCCTTGACTGTGACAGCCTTTAACTGGTGACTTCAGCCACACTGGAGTTCAGATGATGTCAGAGGGCGGCAAATCCCCTTCTGTGTATTGCTGTATATCTCCAACTCTCTATACACCCCTCCCCTGCTACATGGCTCCATATGTCCAGAAGAAAGCAGGTCAGTTATATATTCACTTAAAAGCCACTGTGCCAATCCTTATGAGCAGGGTAGATCTGAGTACAGTTACATATATACTCAACATACTGAGTGTACTCATCATTTGTCAATCAGACTGAGATGGTGATCAGTCAGTGGCAGCAGCTGAGCTAGAAGTCAGGAGAATTCAGAGGGCAGGACAAGGCACCAAATATTGCAGCACATTTAGCTCTTTTCACAAAACTTTGCTGATGACCAGGAAATGTATTATTATTGGATAGGTCTGGGCTTAGGCAGCACACACTACTTAGCATGGGCTATGACCCCAGAAATCTAGCAATTGAAAATCTTGTCATGCAACATAAGTTTAATGTATTATGCAAGTTTGAATGGGCATTCACCATTGATTCTTCTGTTACCTGTGGACCCAGCAAAAATATTAAAGTCACATAATGTTGGCAACTGCTGTAAGGATATCTTTTATTGCAGTCCAGTTCTTTAGTTTGTTATTTTGTAGTCATTGAACTGAAAGGGCACATCCAGCACAGTTTTGGCAAGACATCCAAAGCCCCTATTAAGTAGTATGGTATTTACTGCTTCCTGATGGAATTGGACCAGGTTGGATCGGCCTGAGCTGAACTGAGATCAACTATACTGTGTTGGATTGCCCTGAGCTGATCTGAGATTAATTGGGCTGGGCCAGTGGCAGTCAGGTTATGCATGTTGGGTTAGTGTAGATTAGCTTAAAGGGACATGGGAGTTCAGGAGCAAGGACTGGTGCCTTAACTTGCCAGAAATATATTCCTGGACCTTTAGGGTGACCAGCATTCAACTGTTGATCATATTTTCATGGTTTCCTCATAACTATGTCCAAAAACAGACCTACACTTAATCATATGTTGTATTTTATTCACTGGCATTTTTTGAGAACACACATAGCAGACAGTTGAGGAATGGTTTGAAATCCTTTTGAATACTGAACTATCATATGCCAAAAAAATTAAACTCCATACACCATATCATCATGTAATGTCATTAGGGCTTTAAGACACTCCTCTGCTCAGGCTATATGGCATTGCCTGTCTCTCATCATAGGCCTTATAGTTGTCTGGATCTGTAACTGCACATGTATGTCAATATGTAGAATACACCATGACTGCTGGTATAGCAAAAACCACATAAAAGTAGCAGAGCCTAGCAGACACAACTTAATAGCAGCAATGTCACAATGAAAAAGGACAGATGAAGGTTATAGAAAAGACAATGGCACTAAGTTCATGTTTCATGCTGGCATTTCATGAAGGATTAGACTGGCTACATTCCAGTGAAATACCTCATTTTAGAAGACTACTTACTTTACTTCAGTTAACACCTACAAAAATATATGTCACACAGAGGACCATTAAACCAGGAAACACTGTCAATACTCTGAACAAAGGATCTTTACAGCAAACAAAATTGAGTGACCGTGATAGCCATGGTTAATTTAAGCCTCCAGGGCAGCCCATCCCCGCCCAGACTGATCGCCAGCTCGTCAATCACCCCTGGACGCTGGATCTCGCAAACCACATCGGAAGCATGAAGGTTAAAACAGCATGCCAACAACGCCTGGGGCATAAATTGCACTCCTCGCGTTGTTTTCCACTTGCCTATGTGTTCAGGTTTCACGAAGTACCACCACTGCCGAACCGCTCCAACGTTTGAAGCAATGCATATGCTATTATTTGTTGTATCGCCTTGTTACAGGCGTGTTACGGGCCTCACGCCTAATGCGCTGGAAACGTCACCGCTTGGCCGGCGCACAGGAGCTTCCATATCCATTTCGTGTTCCCAAATTCTGTCATTGCGCTGAGTTCGTCAAGTGCGTGGCCCAGCGAGCAGGCAAGAAGCTGCCCGGCCATCAATCGAGCAAGCAGGGTCTGTTTAAACAAACGATCATTTAAGTTCTTGCCCTGCTCCTCCCTTAATGTCGTGCTATTCCTGGTCCATGTAGGAATGTTGTGATCCATTCAGCTTCAGGCATTTACTGGCCTTTCCTGTTCACGCGGCCCCCACTCAATAAAATAGATATGATCCTTGAACGTACAATACAAGTGCCATTACTGCCATTCAGATCGCGGATGCTAGGGGTTGCTGAATGTTCCAGTCCCAAGTCATAAAAATTGCTGTCTAATTTGTACCCAGGGATGTGCAAAACTTCTGTATATTTTTTAAGTACCTGCCTATCTATTTTGACCATACTAGTCTGCTTGAAAATCACTTGGTGAGCTGTTGGCAGCATCATTTATGCGATAAATGTGATGCTCCAAAATAATCAAGAGTTATATTTTGATGTGTTGCATGTGCATGCCTTTGTGATTGTGCATGTACTGTTGGTGTCACATGTGGTAGTGGCTCGCATAGTGGTTGCTTGGTGCATGTGGTCGTGGATGATCTTGTTGCCGCAGGCTGCATGCCCTTGTGCTAGCTCCCAGGGCTGCATGTGGTGTATGGCCAGTTGCCATCTGGTGAGTCCCTTGCATGTGTTGCAGAATGGGTGTCTAGTTTGATGGTGTGCTACTTCCTGAATAACCTGCAGGTTGGCAGGCGTCACAGTATAGAAAAGGCAAAAAGGCCATGTTCTGCATTAAAGTGTATGCTTGAAAGGCACAAAATTAGGCATCAGTGTGCTCAAAATTAAGTAACATGTCTGTGTAAGTTTCATGTCACTGTGGGATAGTTTGGCAAATGCAAGCATGCAAACTGAAAACATTTGATGTTTGAAGGATTGTCTTTGGAAATGGCAGAGGTTTCAATTATTGGTTCAGAGGGATGAAATAAAACATGTAATACAAAATACTGGCCTAGGCACTTACCCATATCAGCAAGATCTCATTGGGCCCAGTTCATTCCTGTTGTTTTTTTTCAAAGGCCCAATAGTTCTTAGTATGGAAATAACAGGTGGTCACATCCCACTATCCAAGTTGTGAAAGGAGGCTTGGCAGAATGAGGATTAACATTTCAAGCTGTGCATGCCTCAGCAGTCTTATGTACTGCAGCATGCACCCAGCATGTGCAAGTATCAAAGTTGTGTGGTTAATGCAGGCCTCGACCACCCAGACCTCGCTCTGGAGCACACTGATGGCTGCTGTCGTCCGCAGGCAGGCAGCTGCGATGCGGGTGGTGTTCCTGCACCCGGATCTGGGCATCGGCGGCGCCGAGCGTCTGGTAGTGGACGCCGGCCTGGCGCTGCAGCGCCGCGGCCACCACGTCTCCTACGTCACGGCGCACCACGACCGGCGCCACTGCTTCCCCGAGACACTGGACAGGCTGCCGGTGCGCGTGTGCGGCGGCTGGCTGCCTGGCAGCGTGTGCGGCCGTCTGCGCGCCTTCTGCGTCTACCTGCGCATGGTGTACGCGGCGCTGTGCCTGCTGCTGGCGCCCGGGCCGCCGCCCGACCTTGTCTTCTGCGACCAGGTGTCGGCGTGTGTGCCGCTGCTGCGCTGGGCTGGCCTGCGCGTGCTCTTCTACTGCCACTTCCCGGACCAGCTGCTGACGCAGCGGCGTTCGCCGCTTAAGCGGCTGTACCGCGCGCCGCTCGACTGGCTGGAAGAGCGCTCGACAGGCGCCGCTCACCGCGTCCTGGTCAACAGCCGCTTCACCGGCCAGGTGTTCGCCGAGACGTTCCCGCGCCTGCGCCACCGCCGGCCGGACGTGCTGTACCCGTCGCTGGACCTGGCCGCGTTCGACGCGCCGTCGGACCTCTCGCTGGCTGAGGTGCTCGGCGCGCCGCCGCCGCCGCACATTTTGCTCTCGCTCAACCGGTTCGAGCGCAAGAAGAACCTGAGGCTGGCAGTGGACGCGCTAGCCCGGCTGCTGGAGCTGGCGGACGCGCCGGTCGGCCGCGCATGCCACCTCGTGCTGGCCGGTGGCTACGACCCGCGCAACGAGGAGAACGGCCAGCACCTGGCCGAGCTGCAGCGGCACGTGGCGTCTGCTGACCTGACCGAGCGCGTCACCTTCCTGCGCTCGCCCAGCGACGCGGCCAAGCGGGCGCTGCTGCGTGGCTGCGCGGCCGTGCTGTACACGCCGGACCGCGAGCACTTTGGCATCGTGCCGCTGGAGGCCATGTACTGCGGCGCACCGGTGGTGGCTGTGGCCAGCGGCGGCCCGCTCGAGACGGTGCTGAGCGGCGTCACCGGCTTCCTGTGCCCGCCGGCCGCCGAGCCGTTCGCTGCGGCGCTGCTGCGCGTGCTCCTCGAGCCTGAGCTGGCACGCGCCATGGGTGAGGCCGGTCGGCGCCGTGTCGTTGAGAGCTTCTCCTTTCAGGCGTTCGGTGACCGGCTTGAGAAGGTCGTGACCGAGGTGGTGCACGAGGCGGGCGGCTGAGGGCGCGCGTTGCGTTCGCGATCGAAGGGGGTGATACGGGGCTGCACACGTGGGTGGGGCTGTTCGCTGCAGGGCTGTTATGTAAGGTGCACAGTATGAGCAGGCTCTCGGCTGCACCCAAAAGGTGAAATCGGCACTGTGCCTGAGATGATCCGGTACACGATGAATGTTACATCAGGATGTGGCTAATGACGAGGGCCCAAGCGCACATCATCTGAGCTATCGCTTCGAGTTCTGAGATACCGCAATCACACGCTCTACGTGTTGTCATGTTTTTTCATGTTAAGGTGATATCCGGCATTTATCCTGGGTTGGTTAAGACGTTTGAAGTGATACACAGCATCAGGATTCCGGTGGACACATCACTCGTTGTGGCGGGCAAGTTTGCGTGTCATGCTGACGGAATGACACTGGGGCTGCGGTGATATACAGCGTGTTGTTTGTTTGACGTGTCATTTGTTGACACGTCGCAAGTTGTGTGTCAGACTGACAGGGTAACATTCGAGCCATGTTGAACGGGGCTTCAGTTCGTGAAGAAGTGATGGGGGATTCATAGCCCACAGAAGGGGCTCACACTACATACATTATCTTTGAAAGCTAATATAAATGGTCAAACTTTTGTTTTTATTTCTATTTCCTAACACGGAAACCGTGTGAAAAAACATTAAAGGTGAAGAGTTGGGCGTTTTGCGCCATGGTTACCGCTGTCATCAGTGGTTTCAAGTTTCACCATCACAGACTAATGGAAATAGAGGATGTTCGGAACTACGGGAAGTCTAGGCCGCAAACTGCGTGCGATTTTCGGAATGATGGAACGGATGAACTCGAGCATCATCACAGCCAGTCCGGGTTTCTGAGGTGGCGAGTGCGCCGCGCTGGCGCCAGGGGAGCCGTCTGGGGGTGGGCCGGCGGCGGTCGGGGCGGAGGTGACGCCGCTGTAGCGCGGCCGCCGCCGCCAGGCGTCAGGAGTGAGCCCCGAGGCGCAAGCGAGCTGGTTGAATGCGGTCAGGCGCGTTAGGATTTCGGCTTAATTTCCACTGTTCGTGCTCAATCCGTTCAGTCTTGGGGCTGTTCTCCCATTATGCGTGTTCGTTTCTGAGGGGATTGTGCGTCTCGTTGGCTGCCCTGCGGCGGCTGCCGGGCGCGGCTCAGCCCGGTTGCAGTGCTCGGCCTCGAGCCGGGCCGCCGGCCGCCGGCCGTGTCCTGCAGCAGACTACCCACCAGTGCAGTTAGGTCTTTTGGTAGTGGTTTCGGCCATCACTGTCTGGCCTCTGAGCGTTGGCTGCGGCGCCAACGCCCAGAGGCCGAGGCTGCATCGCCGGAGACTAGCGGTTTGGCGCCAGAAGATTTGTTTGGGGCATCACTAGACGCTGCACAATTTGATTACTTTGTTTTAAGTCACGGGAGCTAAATGGGTGCTGTTGGAGGTCCGGGGCCACCAAGTCACTATACCGTTATAAGTGTTAGCATGGTGTAACCGTCTTTAAGTGTAAGTGTTTTTGCACTGGCTGATCAGGATCATGTCATAGCCGAGCCAATGTGCATCCTGTATAAAAGAAGGAATGAACACGTTGCCGTCGGCGTAGCGTTTTGTAGCGGCTGCTATGGTGTCATCGTTCGAAGTCGGGTGCCGAGGGATTCGTCAGCGTTTGGAAACGGTGCGTCACTCAGACGCGTTAAATTGTTGAGCATGTGCAACTAATGCACGCCCGTGGTAAGTGCAGACGTGGGGGCGCTAGTTTTCGCAAGGAAAATATGAAATTCACAGTTTCAGTCATTAACAGCGGGCCGGACTCCAGGCCTCCATCTCGGCAAGGGATATCACAGTGAGTCCAAATTACCGCACCTATCACCATGCAGTTAAGTTTGTAAATCATGAACTACCAAACGAGTAAGAAAGGAACGGGCCATCGCACTGGCAATGGTGTAAATCGATGCGCGGAGCCGAGCGAGCACGTTCGCACTTTCGAGCACGCTCGCTCCAAGACCCCGGATTTGGCGGTTTTCAAGCACTTCAGCATTGCCGACACATTTCTGCGGCCCAGTCAGATGTTTGCCTGCAACCGCACTCGCAGGCACGTGCACTGCGCCGGCGCGGTGGACTGACTGGTGGCATTTGGTCAACTCCAAGCATATTCCAGCGCGTTACTGCTAACCCTATAATAGACTCCCTCGTCCACCCTATCTACAAATTCTGCGATCCTTCTGATCCTTACACTGGCCGTCATATCTCCATCGTTCCAGCCATCGTGGTATGTGCAGAGCGCACCATCCATCAGCAGCTCTACAATGACATACCACATCACCTTCCCTCTCCTAACTAGCAGTTTCCGTTCGACGGAAACCGGACTGATCACCACATTGGACCACATGGCTTCCCTGTGGCGGGG